ACCGGTGATATTTTATATTATGATCCAAAAAAAGATCGGGAAGAATTGGCAAAAATGGTAACTCTTATGTGCTTACCATATAGTTTTCCTTCTGACCCTTCGTTTGTGCATTATATTAGAATTTTTTTAATCCTACTTATAAAGATTTTCCTCGCACAACCGTAAAGAGCAATATTTATAAATATAAGCATGAATATGAACAATATTTGTACTATTGTCGTGTTGCTATTACAACTGATATTGGTAGAAGTGGCAACGACTGTGATTACTTTACTGTTACCAGTCATTGGATTGATGAGAATTGGATAATGCAAAAGCGCATAATTGCTTATAGAATAATTGCTTCATGTCACACAGGGCAGTTTATTGCTAGCACAGTTACGGATATTTGCAGATATTTTTGCATTAGTGATAAAATAATGCCGGTTTCAATGGATAATGCTCCTAATAACACAAATGCTATAGACTTGTTTACCACTACGCTAAATCCTGCATTTAGTAACATTTTTCATGTTAGATGTATTTGTCATATTTACCATTTAATTGTGGGTGATAGTATGAGAATTTTAAATATTCAAATTAAAAAGGTTAAAATAGCTCTTAACTGGCTTTTTCATTCAAACCGTAGAAGTAGACTTAGAGAATATTTTAAAAGATGTGATGAATGTGGCCTAAGAGAAAGAAAGGTTCCTAAACCTTGTCCAACTAGATGGAATTACATGTATGAAAGTTTGGTTATTGCATATGAATATAGAAATCGCATAAAATTAAATTTTAATGCACATGTAAGTGATGATGACGATTACCTTACGAATGGGGATTGGTTTAATGTTAAAATGCTTGTTGATTTTTTAGAAAAAATTCATATTGATACAAATAAATTTTCTAGGCAATATTAATGTTACAACCCAAATTCGCATACCTTAGATCACGCCGTAAGTTAGTCGACGTAAATCCAAGAAGAGATTATCTTTGAGATGATAAGAAGTTAATCCTATTGGTCTTAAACGATACAAGGGTGTATAAGAGTGGTTAACAAGTATTTGAAATTAAACGAATCAAGGATGTTGTAACCCGTATTTTCGGGTAACACTAGAGGTGATTAATTGTCCCAAGAGGTATTGTTTTAATGTATTTGAATCATATAATATCCGCATCATAAGTCTTGAAGTCAAGCGAGTTATGAAACAAAAGTCGATAAAAGTTGTCGCAACTTAGGTTTATAATTTTACTTAAACTTTAGGTCAAATGTTACTGTATTTTTCTCCCAATGTGCTTGGAATTATGGGGTGATATACCTATCACATTGAAGATCTATGAGTATAGTTTCCAACGCATTAAACCGTTCATCGATACGATCTCGGAATAGAGAGATATTCGCGTTTTCGCGAGAGTGCGCCAAGCTGCTCTCTATGGGGCCCACAAAGGCGGTTTAAGACATATGGACATATATAAGATACCTCAACCCCGTTTTAAGTCATTATTTTTCAGTATATTCAGACCTTATAACCCTAAAATCATTCTCTCAAGGTTCTCTCATGATCCAAGACCCAAACAAAGGGCAAACAACACAAATCAAATGTCGGGAATCCCGTGGCGCTAGTAAGTTTCTTGTTCTTCTTGTTGTTGCTGATTTTTGTGTTGTTCCAGCTCGTGTGGGAGGTTGTTTTAAGTGTTTTATGTCCTGTAAATACACCTTCAAGTTTTTAATATCAACCCTAGGTGATTTCAAGTCTTCTAAAGTAATTCTAGTGCCGAAAAACCCGAATTAATTGCTAGTTTCGCTTCCTTGTTCTTGTGGCAGAATTGAAGGGATATTTCGTGGAAAATTAAGGTCAAATTGGAGTTGTTCTTTCTGTTTAAAGGTAAGGAACCTCTTACTCTATATATATTTAAGATTATCCAAGTTGCAGCTAAGTCGTTGAAGCTAGAACTTGTGAAATATATATCGAAAGGCTTGGTAGTAATGTTGTTGGTTGGTGGACTGTTTTGGAGGCTCAATATGATTATTAATGATGTTGTTTGGGCTGTTTGGTGATTGTATTGACTTGTGGGAAGTCATATAAATAGGGGAGGTGCTGTCCGTTTCATCGTAAAATAGGTTGTGGTCGATACATAATAGTTACGACGCTTAAACGATAATGATAGTGTCATTTGTCTTATTGTAATGTCGCGAGGTTCTCACTCGGAATCACCTAACAATCCTCGCACAACCCCTTATCACACCTCAGGAGGAGAAGATAATCAATCTGAGTCTTAGCCACCATACTACGAAAAGTAATCAAATGCTCCTCCTTCTTCGAAAAAATAGAGTTCACGATCACCAACTCAAAAGCTCTAGCGAAATCCAACAGTGAAGTGCCTCCTCCGTTCCTAACCCCACAGCCGAAGCCGCCGTGTACCTCACCATAGCCACTAGAAGATGACCCAATATGCCCATTGAAATCCCCTCCTATAAATAACTTCTCCGTAGGCGAAGTTCCCCGCACCACCTTATCCAACTCCTCCCAAAATCGCCTTTTAACCTCCTCGTCCAAGCCCACTTGCGGTGCGTAAGCGCTAATGACATTCAGAGTGCTTCGTCCAACTACTAACTTAATCGCCATCAATCTATCACTCACACGCCTAACCTCTATAACTGACTCTCTAAGCTCCCTATCCACCAAAATACCCACTCCGTTCTTTCCCTACATGCCTCCAGAGTACCATAACTTATACCCGTCGGCATTCCTCGCCTTCGATCCTACCCACCTAGTCTCCTGAACACAAGCTATATTTACCTTTCTTTTCTGTAGAATCTTCGCCAGCTCTATAGACTTACCCGTCAATATCCCTATATTCCACGATCCAATTATCAATCTATAGGCACCCTTGTTCCTCTTACCCCCTATGGGCCTCGTCCCACCCACCGACCCTTGCCCTAATCCCCGCCCTGCCACCTGCCCTCCCCGAGGACATGACCCTATATTGCCATTACAAACCACAACCGTTATACCTACGGAAGTCTATGTAAAAAATGGGAATATAGGTCCACTACTAAATTGACTGAACTAATTATGTAGTACTACGACAACAAATCAACTAAGATAGGAGAGAGAGAAATAGGAGGCGGGAGGTACCAATTCCTGCAAATATAACCTGGACTTTCGACTTGGTATACTCCCGATGCTTTAGAACCCGATGTTTTGTCCTTGTTCCTGCCAACTGACCTGCTTTGCTGCTTTTGCTTGTGTGCCTCCCTCCCGTCACCAAAAAGCCACAAAAATGGTATCTGCAGCACTCACAACACACCACGAAACCAAGAAAAATAGATGATGGTAGGGCTGTCACCCTCACCACAGGTGGCCCAATTGAACTCGAAGCTATTGATTATATGAGAAAAAAGTTAAAAAAATATTTTTTTCCTATTCCCCCTATTTATAGTGTTACTGCTTTGTTAAATCCTTGTATGAAATTAGGAGATCCTCAATTTTGGTATGAAACTGTTTATAATGGTTTAGCACTTGAAGACGATGAGTTTCCTCAACTTCCGGAAGCAATAGCCTCAATTAAAATAAATGCTCAAACTATTTATAATTCTTATCAAGTTGCATTAAATCATGCTAGACCAAATGCTCCAACTCCTTCTTCTTCTGATTCTCAATCATCTAAAAGAACTGTGGGAGTAAGAGCACTTAGTGCTTGGGCGGGGTTTAAGGCGTCAAGGTTCTAGTAGTAATGATTTTTCACAACTAAATGAGCTTGAAGTTTATTTGTCGCAGCAAATTGAGGAAGTGAATCCCGACGGCTCCTTTAATCTTTTGCAATGGTGGAAGGACAAAGAAAAATACTTTCCGGTTCTTTCAAGGATGGCCTAAGAACATTTTAACTATTCAAGCTTCAACAGTGGCATCAGAGAGCACTTTCAGTCAAGCAAGACTTCAAATCGGTGATTATAGAGCGTCTATGAGGGAGAGCTTGAAAATATCAGCACTTTTCAGATATTGGATCCGTTCGGAAAGAATAAATTTTGGACTTGCTGAATCACAACCAGAGGAAGACGAAGCTTACGAAGAAATGCTACCTGAACATGTGGAGGATGCTGCTTCGCCCGACAATGAAAGCGGCGATGACCAAGCTACTTTTCCACCACCGCCAACGGAAATTCCTCCGGACCTTGAAGGATTTATGAAGTTTGTAAGAGATACCATATAACTTGTATGAAAAAAATTAGTATGTATTATGTAACTTGTATTTTGACACATCTTGATTAATTTCTTTTTCTTCTCAATGGTGGTATTAGCACCTTGTTGTGCTCATTCCATAGGGAGGAGGAAGACTAAGAAAGATATTGCCATGTTTTTTTAATGCTATAATAAAATTACAAGGCATTACTTTGAATATCTTTTTATAATATTTTTGTCTTTAAATTTGAATTAAAATATTTAGGTCATAAATATATAATAAATTTACAAGGCATTGCCTTAGATATTTTTTTAACATTTTTTGTCTCTAATTTCTATTTAATTTTTTTTTAAAAATTAATATTTAGCCGTTGGGCCACTTAGCCCGCGGGCCCGACTCGTTTAGCCCGGGACCATGAGTTCATGGGCCCGGTCCCGGGACCGGTTCCTATAAAAAGACCGTTTAGCCCGGGACCGATAGGCCCATTTATTTAAGGACTGGCCCGGGATCGGGACTGGTTAGACAGGCCCACTTGGCCCGTTTAGGGCTCGGACCGGCCCACATGCCACCCCTAACTCCCCCTGATGAGAGCATCAATTTACATCCTTGAGCCTTCGCATCCCAATCTTGTACACTAATTTCTTGAAGGTTGACGTCGGTAGAGATTTTGTGAATAAATCAGCCATATTATCACTTGAACGAATCTGTTGCACATTGATATCACCATTCTTTTGAAGATCATGCGTGAAAAATAACTTTGGTGAAATGTTCTTTGTCCTATGTCCTTTTATGAATCGTCTCTTCAATTGGGTTATGCATGTTGCATTGTCTTCATACAAAATCGTGGGTAGTTTGTCACACTTCAAACCATATTTGTCTCGAATAAGGTGTATTATAGACCTCAACCGCACACATTCTCGACTTGCTTCATGAATAGCAATCATCTCAGCATGATTAGATGAAGTAGCCACAATTGATTGCTTAGTCGATCGCCAAGATATGGCAGTGCCTTGATAAGTAGGGATTTTGACTACTTATTTGCACTCTTTTACTTTCGTTTTAGCTCAAAATTACTTAAAGGTATTCCCGAAAACTGATAAAATGTGCTTTCTTGCAGAAGTGTTGGAATATGAGTCAAAGAGATGAAAATCAACTCAAGAAGGAGTAATTTTGGACAAGGACCAAAATAAAGATAAAAGGGCAAAATGCGAACCACACAATATTAAGTGCGGCCGCGGAACATGAGGAAGCCTCTGACAAAATTTCTATGCAAAGTGCGCACCTCACAATTATTGTGCGGCCGCAGAAGATGAGGTTCAGAGAGATGGATTCTGGGGTCATGAAGAAGTGTGGACCGCACCATTATTATGCGGCCGCACTCAGAAATGTGCGGTCTGCAGAAGTCTTGCATGTCAAAGCTAAAATTCAAGAGTGCGGCCGCACTCAGAAATGTGCGGACCGCAAAATTTGACGAAGTGCGGCCGCAACCTTGAATTGTGCGGCTGCAGAAGTCCATCCTGTCAAGCTAGTGTCAAAGTGCATACCGCACACATAATTGTGCGTCCGCAGAATCTCCGCAGGGGCAATTTTGTCCGATAATTTCAGCTGGGTATAAATAGCTATTTTTGTCAAATTTAGGTTAAGAGGAGAACACCTGAGAATAGATAGCCATTTTTTTTTACTGTTTTGGGTAACTTTGTAATAGTTTATCATTTTAACATTAGATTTTCTTCCCTTAATCATCTATTATGAGTTTTATCTTAGTTTCTTATTTAATTTCTTCATTTTTTATGAGTAGCTAAACCCTTAGCTAGGGTTGTGACCCAACCCTAGTATGGGTAATTAATGGGTGATTGATTTAGGGCTTATTTATGATTGGGTTTATGATATTTAGCCTAGTTCTTGCTTGAATTTGAGAATTGATGGTTGTAAACATTGATTCATGCCTAATTGACTTAGTCTCTACTTGAGAAAGAAAGACTAAGTCTATAAAAACTTGGCTAACAAGAAATTGGGGTGAACTCAAGAAATTGATAGCCCCAATTAAAGGGTCGAATCTAGAGATAGTAAGACCCGACTTGAGCATCTATCACTTGTTTTGTGAAATACCTATTTGGACTTGAGAAATCCAAATTGGGTAAAATTACTCAAACTATTGAGAGGTATAGAGTGAGTAATTGCGTGTGATTGTTTTATTGCATCTCGACCAACCAAATATGCCCTAAAGCTCTCAATCCGTTAGGTAACCAACTAGGCGGAAGTTACAATCCTAGATCTTTTATAACCTGAAAAACAACAACACCAAAAATATTATCCCTTAGTTTTACAATTACAAGCATTAGCATAAAAATTAGAAGTAGAAAAGAAACAACCGAATGTGTGGAAGTGCAATGTTGGGCACGTCATATACGTAAACTAGGTATATACCTAATCCAACATAAAGCTCTCTATGGAATCGACCTCGACTCGCGTTAGGTATTTATAATTCCATCGACCGCCTCACAATCTCAATTAGTGGTGTGAGTTTGGGCGACATCATGCCTCCACAGGTAAACACATAACATGTTTGAGATCGAGCCTTGTGTGGATCGGATAAATACCCAGCATCGGCATAACCAACAAGATCGGGACTGCAATTATTGCCATAAAATAAGCTCATATCGGTAGTCCCCTTTAGATACCGCAATATATGTTTGATTCCATTCCAATGTCTCCTTGTAGGAGCAAAACTATATCTTGCTAAGACATTAACTGAAAAATTTATGTCAGGTCTTGTAGTATTAGAAAGATATATTAGTGCACCAATTGCACTAAGATATGGTACTTCAGGACCAAGTATCTCTTCATTTTTTTCTTGATGTAGGAATGGATCCTTATTCACATCAAGTGACCGAACAACCATCAGAGTACTTAATGGATGTGCTCCATCCATATAAAACCGTTTCAATACCTTTTCTGTGTAGGCAGATTGATGAACAAAAATCTCGTTTGCCATATGTTCAATTTGCAAACCGAGACATAATTTTGTCTTTCCGAGATCTTTCATCTCGAATTCTTTATTTAAATAATCAATTACCTTTTGGAGTTCTGTATGAGTTTCAATAAGGTTTATGTCATCGACATATATGTCAAGTACAACAAATTTCGATGTTGTTTTCTTTATAAAAACACATGGACAAATGACATCATTTATATAACTTTCCTTTAATAAATACTCACTAAGACGGTTATACCACATTCGTTTTGATTGCTTTAGACCATACAAAGATCTTTGCAATTTGATTGAAAATATTTCTCGGGACTTTGAATTATGTGCGTCAGGCATTTTAAATCCCTCGGGAATTTTTATGTATATTTCATTATCAAGTGAGCCATAAAGGTAGGCTGTAACCACATCCATTAAATGCATATCAAGCTTTTTATGGATAGCAAAACTAATGAGATAACAAAATGTTATTGCATCCATAACAGGTGAATATGTATCTTTCGACACCAAGCCTTTGTGAATCCTTGTGCAACAAGGCGTGCCTTATATCTTTCTACCTCATTTTTCTCATTTCTCTTACGTACAAAGACCCATTTATATCCAACAGACTTAACACCATTAGGTGTTTGGACTACAGGCCCAAAAACTTCACGTTTCGCGAGTGAATCCAACTCAGATTGGATTGATTCTTGTCATTTTGGCCAATCACGTCTTTGTTGACATTCTCCAATAGATTGAGGTTCAAGATCCTCACTATCTTGCATAATGCTAGATGCAACATTATATGCAAAGACATAATCCACCACTATATCCAATCGATTCAAATCTGTCTCAATATCGATTGAATTTATTAATAGTTCCTTATTTTCTTGAGTCTCAAGCTTAGTGATTTCCTCGTAAATCTCAGGATTGGTTAAATCATGGATTTCTTCATGAGACACTTTCGTAGTATCATCTTGATCATTTGTTTTCTTTTTTCTAGAATTTCTATCCTTAGAACCTAATGGTCGGCCACGTTTTAGGCATGCTTTTGACTCATTAGCTATGACACTAGAAGATTGTCCAACAGGGACATCAATACGAATTGGAATATTCTCTGCAGGGATATGTGATTTTGTTGT